CTTCAAAACCAGAACCAAAATATACCGTTTTTCTCTAAGGTAACCGATCACTTCATTTCAAGTAACCGGTTACTTCATCCAAAAATACCCAGAACACGTTTTTAATAGCAGAGTAACGAGTTACTTCATTTCAAGTAACTGGTTATTTCGCTGGCAGAAGCACTTTTCTGCAACTTTTTCAAAATGAAAATCACTTTAAGCCATCACAAAATCTCATTTTTCTTGCAAATCATTTAGCTTATGTTTTAACACGAAATAATGACTTTTTAAAGGTAAACCCCAAATATTTTTCACCGAAAACACCCATAACATAGTTCTGATGCTGACTCGCAACCACACACAACATCACCATATCCATCAGTAACATTACACAATTCATCATTCAATCATCAACCGCGACATCACTAGACAATATTATAATACATCTAATTCATCAACAACATACAATTGCATTATCCACACAATTAATCCAACAATTACAAAATTGCAACCATGATTATATCATTGAGAGAAGAAAAACATAAAACCAAGCATATATATAATATATCCGCCATCATCATACAAACCTTAGATAATCAAAATCACACCCTTACTTTAGAGTTCTTGCAAAGGTTTCTCAACAATGGTGATATTCTTTTCCCCTTTTCCCTAGTTCTCCTTTCTCTTTTCTCTAAATTTCCACGACCAGTCAGTTTATATCCTTCAACCTCTCTTTTCTATTTATTTTATATTATTATTATTATTATTATTATTATTATTATTATTATTACTAATCTCAACTAATTAAAATAATTATTATAATTATAATAATAATGATTCAAGTAATTATTTAATTTAAATAATACACACCTTATATTATTTAAATAAATAACTATTAACTAGTGTTACTAATTAATTTAATTAGTCTTACTCATCACACCACAAATTTCTACACTTTTGCTCATACACTCCAACACCTTAATTTCACTCTTAAGGCCAATACCCCACACGAAGGGTACCCCAAACACCTAAAACATCAAACAATACCACACAATCACCAAATACCTCATGATTAAATTACGGAATATAAATGAAATAATTTGGGGCGTTACAAAAGGTACAAAGCATGAAGTGTGCACAAGTTCTTGGCCACGATATGGACTGATTTTCATGCTTATATTTGGACAATAATGATGAAAGGTGACATAAGGTTTATGGACAGTTTTGGTATCAAAGTATAAATGAGGTTATGGGCATGATTTTGAACCATATCTGGGCCTTTGTTTAGACACGCTAAACTTTAAAAAGATGGTGATTTGTGTTGTGTACAATTGATTCAAGTCTTAGCAAGATTTTGGAATAAATTTGCAAGCATGACTTTGATCAATGTTGTCTCCTTGATCAATGAGTCAATTTGTGTGATCTTAGATTTTATGGAAAGAGGGCATTACAAGGAACAACTTTAATGTTGATACTTGGGTAAAAAGATGCTTGTATCACAATATAGCTTGCTTCAAAATGACTTGTAAATCAAGAATTTTCTAAGTATTTGTGCACATTGGATCATGGTGTTTCCCTTGACCTTTGAACCTCTTCTTTATTAATTCCAAATTCAATTCTTTCATCATGTTGTAGTATCAAATGATACCTTTAAATACAACCCTTGTTTGTCCCAATTGGAGTCTTGTGTAGCTCACACCATGCTTGCAAAGTATCATACTTTAAGATGTTATTTGTGGACTTAGTGAAATTTGCAAAATCTCACTTTTCACACTTCTCACCAATTCTTTTGATTTTTCTTGATCCCACTTGGAATTTATCACCACTTTGAACATGCTATGAATATTTTGACTTGGAACACCAATTTTGACTAAGAAACCTTAAAGTCAAGCTTTGAATTTTAGGCCTTTTGTTGACTTTTTCAAATGAACTAAAATCACTTCTTTTTCAATTTGCAATGTTATCCTTTTGAATCAAACTCATGAACTAATGATATGCAAATGATCTCTTGAACCTCAACAACAGCTTTGGGATCAAACTTTGGTCAAAAAATTCAACCCTGAGTGGAATTTGACCAAAACTAAACTAACTTGAATAACTTGATCAACACAAACCCTAATCTTCTTGCTTGAGATATAAAATGATGAATGAACACCTTTAGATGATAAGAATCATACCAAACTCTAGTCCATATCCAACTCAAATGAATCAAAGCCCTAAGCGGTTGATCTTTTTGGGAAATCTCTGAAAAGAATGCCTTTGTATCTTGATGATACTTGGCAAATGACTATGATCTTGACGATGTGAGTTCAAACTTTTGCTTGTGAACCAAATGAGTCCATTTTTGAATAGGCAAAATCAAAATCACAAGAAAAATCTTGATCTCATGTCTTAGAAACCCATGAAATGCATGATTGTATTGTATCATGACCTAATGGAAGATGCAGATGAATGTGAAACAAATGCCAATTAGGGTTAGAACTATGAGGGAAAATTTTGGGGTACAAAAAGTACATAGTTGCTTTCCTTTGTGCATATTAAGCAACATGGATGGTGAACTTGGTCAAAGAAATTACAGGGAAAAATCATATGGCAATTACCATGAAGATCGACAATATGTCAGCTATCAATCTGGCGAAGAATCTGATATCACATGGCAGAAGCAAGCACATCAAAATGAGGTTCCATTATCTTCGAGAGCATGTAGCTAAAGTGAAGCTGAACTTGGAACACTACATAATTGAGAATAAAATTGCATACATCATGACGAAAGGAGTGCAGCTCAAAGTTCTCAAGAAGTTAAGATCTATGATGAATGTAGATAGATTAGACACAATGAATTAAGTGGTGTATTGATATAATAATCCATTGTGTCGAAGCAACATATTGCTTGACAGAAACAAATGTGTGTTGAATTAGCCTAGTGTGTGTGTGTGTGTGTGTGTCGAGTTGTATTTGATGTCGAAATGTCGAAGCAGGTTGCTTGACACAATATTTCGACTTAGACCAAAATAGGTATTTTGGGCTTTTGTGTTTTGGGCTTTGGCTTAGATAGATGGAATGACCCCTATTTTGTAACACAATGAATAATATTTTCGTTTGCATGATAAAGAGCATAGAGTTTACTCTGCAGAATTCACAAACTCTTCTTCTTCCTTTATTCAAACCCTAACTTCTTCTTCTTTTCAATTTTCTTCTTTCTCCATTGTTAATTGTTGTGCGGAATCATCTTGCAACCAATGTTGGTTGATTCACTCAAGTGAAGAGTGAAGAACTAGGGATTTCGATCGGATTGATTGAATCTTGTTCATCAAGATTGATTTGGAATTATTCAAAGTTTTGGGTTAAATTCCAACAGAGTTTACATGATATATGTCAATTAATACATATTTATTAGTGTTCTGTTGATGTTGATTTCCATTGCCTGCCTGACGTGTCTCACTAATGACAACTTATGGGTTTATTGATGATGTCCTTTGACCTCACATTTGTGCACAAGTGTGACTTATAAGAACCACATTATTTGGAAAAGTGGAGGTTGAGTACGTTATAAGTGAGAGGACTCATACACCTATTGCCTTAAGATTTTGGGTGAACATGTAGCGTCTTTATCACTTTTGTGTTACTCTTAATCCAATATGGATGCTACTCGTGATGATCTGATAACATTCATACAACTTACTTCTCGATCTTCCCGGATTACAAATATTCTTTGAAGCTATTTTAAAAAACTTATAAAAATATAAAATAAATTATAATCTAGTTTTATAAATTCTTTTAAACGTTCTCACAAAATTTATATTAGTACACAAACTCAAATAAATGAACTTAAGACTTGATCTTACCTGATCAGAATTGGACCATCACAGCTGGTTCGAACTGGATCTGAGAGATAGGGGGTACCTACAAGACACTCTGATAATAAAGTAAGCGACGAAATGAGCAGGTAAATTGTATATCGGTGTTTTAGAGAATGAATACCTGACCCTCTTGGAACAGAGGGTATTTATAGCCCTCAGCGCTGGGCCAAGGTCCCTTTATTGGGCTGACCAAAATTGGCCCAACAAAGAGACTGCCAGGTTCTACGTGAGTAGTGGGGACCTGCACGTGGTCCCCTTCCTGGATGATGCTCCGCGAAGAACAAGGAAGAACGACGACGTGATCTTCCCGGAGCTCTAAAGACTCCGAAGCATCCAGAGGGACTGAGTCAGCCCTACGGGGAGGATGCTCGAGCAGGACTCGAGTTGGGATGTCCGTGTCGGGGATGTCTCTCATTGCGGGCAGCGGCGGGCATAGTCGTAACGACCCGTGACTGGGTATGCTCAGGGAATCTGGTTCCCAGCATAGCTCGAGGCACAGTTTGGATCTGGGCCTTACTTGTGATTTGGGCCAAGGGCAGGCCCAGTCCAGAACAAGACTTTTTATATAAATGATTAAAATTCAATTTGTATCCAAAAAAACAAGCACTAGATAAAAAGAATAGTTAAAATATATTTTTGTTTCCTATAAATTATTAAATTTTGTTTAGGGACCCTATAAAAAAAATATGACATATTTTAATTCCTATAGAATTATTATGTATGTAGTTTTACTCTTTACTATTAAACTGATATATATTTTTGAATGATTATTTTACAAATATGTTTAGAATGTTATAAAACAATTCTCGAAAAAAAATTTTAAAATTTATTTTCTAAATCGAGAATTTCATTACTTTCGTTAATATTTTTTTAAATTTAAAAAATCTATATTTAATTCATCTCATTTTAAAAAATTATAAAATTTAGTAAAAAAATATTTTATAATATTCTAAACCTGTATAAAAAAATACACCAAATAGAAAAACTGATCAAAACATAAAGCATTGATGGTTAGAGTAATTGCTCACGAGAGCATAACATAAATTATTTTCTGAATTAGAATGACCCTTCAATTCATCAGTCTTAAGAATATTCACACCTCAGACATAACATATTTACAAAATCAGAAACAAATTAAGATAACAACTTGATTAAAAGCAGTCACCACCCTTGAATTGGCCAGCGTTTGTCTGGATCTGGAAGCCAAGAAGAACGTTTCTTCTCCTTCTTCTCCTTCTCTGCCACCTCGTTCCCTTCATGGGTAGTGGAAGTTTTTGTGAGAGTTAGGATCTTACTTAGAAATCCAATACCTTTTTTATTCTTCTTGTGTTCATCTTCCTCATCAAACTTCATGGATTGTGAAATTCTTTCATAGCCAGCGATTTTGGCACATTCTAAAGTCACAGATTCGGATGAAAGTAATATGCGTTCTGACCTCGACATACTAAAGCTTCTTCTGTATTCCATAAACTCAAATTGAGATAAGTGTTTTTTTATGTGAAACAACAACCACCGAACGAGGATAGAAATGTTGTTAGTTCGGAAATGTTTATGAAGGGTAATAGTAAGTACTAATATTTAGTTAGTTATGTTACATGTTAATGTTACTTTTAGGAAGGAATTGATGGTCACTACTATGTGGACATTATTTAATAACTGTGTCATTGATGACTTTAGTTTTAACTTGTTAGATCATGCGTGATGAGGTTGATTGAGAGAGACGTAAGAATATGGAAAACCATAGAATACAGCTTGGAATTTTGGAGGATTATATAATTCTTTCTTTTTTGTCTATGTTTTATATGCTTAGAAATACTAGTATGTCTTTTTGACTTTTCTACGCGTTGCATAATTCAATGGTCAAAAAATATTGCGAGGCAACTTATTTGTTTTTTATCTCAAGTCAAGTACAAGTTTTTTCATCAAGTAATCATACGAAAAAGTTGTTGCCGCATCAGTAGTGATGCTCATTCAGAACACACTTTTTGAATTTAAGATTTTTTTTTGTTGGAGGTGCTGTGCTGTTATTGGGACAATTTTTTATTAACTTCAAAGTTAGTCCTCTCGTAAGTGGTAAGACCAAACAACTACCAACTATATCCACTTATGGTGTGAAAAAAAAACTATCCCATGCTAACAAACTAATATAAAAAATAATTATTTTGAAATCGTAAGGTATTCAGTTAAACAGATGTATAAAAATTTGGTGTTTGACGACCAATCATCCTATAGTCAATCTTGAATTAAAATTTATAATAAGACGATCCCTTTAAAAATGTCATGTTTGATTTAAAGAATATTTTAAAAGAAAATTCCTACAAAAGAAAATTTAGCTAGGATGGGAGGTTAGCTTAGGGTCAGGTAGGGTGTGTCGGAGAATGTGGGTGTGAGAAGTCAACTTCTCATTTATTTAGTGTCTGATTTTTTGCTGTTTAATACAAAATACAGAGAAATTGGGATAACAGCTAAGACACACTAAAGAGGAACTCTAATAAATGCCCCCACAATTGTCGTTGTTGAAACAAGGACAAGATAAAGCATGTGAACAAGCACCAGCATATGTAGCATCTCCAAACCCCCAAGTAATGGTGGCACTAACAATGTCAACACTTATTTTCAATTATACATAAATAATTGATTCTGGTGCAACCAATCATATGCATTCGTGTTAGCCAAGTCTCAAATCTAGTTTCCGTTTCCACGGCCTATAATGCCTCAACCCCTTATTGAGGAATGATCTTTGGACATGATGATACTTGGACTTTAAATTCTATTTTTATTGTTTCATCTCTGAATTATAATATTGTATTAGTTTTCCAAAGAGTAGTGCCCTATTTTAGTGCTGTAATTTGTAGCCAGAAATATGTTTAAACATATGCTAAAGCATTTTTGCTTACTTTCCACCTAAACTTTAAAAGTAACATGAACTTTGAGTATGAGGGCTTGGTTAACCCACACACTGCTATAAATACAGGTGCATGTCTATAGTTACAGATACAAAACATATGACATAATGATTTCTAGTTTAATTTACATACATAGATACCACAAGCTGAACATGGAGCTGGGTTGGTTGGGAAGAAGAGGGAAAACCCAAAGAACTAAAGACATAATAATACTTTTTATTGCATTCATCTGCGGCTAATGTCTTCATTATAGTTATTGTTCACAGTTCATTGGAGTAGAGACACTCATCCACAAGCTGGCGTAGGTTTGGATTCTCTAAAGCGGCAGCAATTCTTTCTTTATCATTTAATTGCTTATTGACTGCATGAAAATATTATTACAAGTTCATGTTGTAAGAAGATAGGATCATATAAAATTTTAGTTTGTATGAGAATTTAGATGGAGTCTCTCACCTGATGTTGAATGCAAATAAAAGGGAAAAAAGGGATTGGGAGAGGCGTATTCTTAGATGTTATTGTTATCGCAAATGTTTAAATTTTACCTGATTCTTCATTGGCATGAGATCCTTGAGACACTTTGATGTCCACCTGCAAAGAAGAATTTGAGTAACAAATGAGATAACAACCAAGAGAGAATACAATTATACTATGATATAAGCAGTGTGGAAACTAAATTTTAGAATTGAGAATTGTGACTCTAAAGAAAAGAGAGTGTGTGTGCAAGCGAGAAGGGATTCAAGAGAAGGAATCAGACTCCCGGGATTAGCACACGGTTAAACGCAATAGTGAACCGTGGTCATTAATTTCATATCAGACGGTTGAAACTGCCTAGTTTGTAAATTAACTTTTTTAAACAACCACAGTAATTGATTTAGATCACACGGCCAAAATCTCTATTAGAGATATAAGGGCAATCCTGTAATATTCTAGTATAAGGGAATTGACTAGTGTCTAATTCCATTTCTATCCCTTATCCTTTCCATATAAAGGATTGTTGTAACTGAATCAAAGGGAATAACAAATTCTGTTTTGCATTTTCCCTCTCTCTCTCTTCTCTTTCTCTTCACTCTTTGCTTCTCTGTTTTCTATCATGGTATCCAGAGCTTATGGCTTCTCCGTCGCCGTCTTCCACCGCAAGCGGTGACAGCTCCGCCGCTGCTAACTCCACCTTCAAACAAAAGATCTCAGTCAAGCTTGATGAGAACAACTATCGACAGTGGAAACAACAAGTTGAAGGAGTTCTTCGTGGCACGAAAATGGTGCGATTTGTCGTATCACCTCAGATACCGGAACGGTACCTTACTATTGCCGATCGCGACACCGGAAGTGAGAACCCTAACTTCGTCGCGTGGGAAGAACAGGATGCGCTGCTGTGCACGTGGTTGTTATCCACGATTTCAAATTCGCTCCTCTCTCGTTTCGTTCTTCTTCGTCACTCGTGGCAAGTCTGGGAAGAAGTTCATGCATTCTGCCATACGCAAATGAAGACTCGGTCTCGTCAACTCAGATCGGAGCTTCGCTCCCTCTCGAAAGGTACTAGAACCATTTCTGATTTTCTTGCTCGCGTTCGCACTATCGTCGATACGTTAATGTCAATTGGTGATCCAGTCCTTCATCGTGACCAAATTGAACTGATTCTTGAGGCGTTACCGTCGGAATTTGACTCGGTTGTTGCTGCTGTTAACTCTAAGACTGATTTCATCTCAATTGATGAATTGGAATCGCTTCTCCTCACTCAAGAAGCTAGAGTGGAGAAATCCAAGAAAGAAGTTGTTGAGACTGTCTCTGTGAACCTTACTCAAGGTAATGTGTCAAGTTCCAATCTCAGTCCCCAAAATCCTGATATCACTGACTCCAATGGTGGAAATTTCCAAAGCTTTGGTCGTGGTAGCTATTCTCGTGGCAGAAACAATAGAGGAGGAAGGTTCAGAGGACGTGGTGGCGGCAACGGCTATAGAAACTCTGTGCAATGTCAGATATGCTATAAACTTGGTCATGATGCTAGCTATTGCTACTACAAACACTCTCAAGACTCTTATGGTGTCTATCCTCCTTATGTTGCTCTTGCCTCCTTTGGAAATTTTGGCTTCAGTCAACCAAATGTGTGGACTCAACCTGGATTTAGGGCTCCAAGTCCTTCAACTGTGAATCAAGCTAGACCTATGGCGCCTGTCATTGCATCTCAGTACTCTGGTGCAAGGCCTTAGGCACTGATTGCTGGCACTGACTGTTCTTCGTTCTACAACCAGGCGTGGTATCCTGACTCCGGAGCTTCACATCATGTGACTCTAGATGCCACAAATCTTACTGATACTATATCTCTGCCTGGTAATGATCAGGTTCACATTGGCAATGGCCAAGGTCTGTCCATAACTTCTCTTGGCTCTATGACTTTTCCTTCAAATTTATGCCCTAACACTTCTTTGAAACTGAATAATCTTCTTCTTGTTCCATCCATTACTAAAAATCTGCTGAGTGTGAGTCAGTTTGCCAAAGATAATGTCGTATTCTTTGAGTTCCATGCTAATGCCTGTTTTGTGAAATGTCATGGTACTTCTAAAGTGCTTTTGAGTGGTTCCCTTGGGAGTGATGGTCTATATAAGTTCGACTGCACTCCTCCTTCTACTTCCTCTCAAGTCCTTAGTGTTGTTTGCAAGTCATCTGGCCTTCAACATCCTTCTTTGGAATCTAGCTTTGTGTTCAATTCCAGTTGTAATAAAAGGAACTTAGATTTTGTTTCCAGTCTGTACAAATTCTGGCACCACAAGTTAGGTCACCCTCATCATGAGGTTCTTAAACAAGTTCTCAAACTGTGTAATATTTCAATTCCTAATAAACAGTTTTCTGACTTCTGTAATGCCTGCTGTATGGGTAAGGTACATAGGTTACCATCTACCTCATCTAAAACTGTTTACTCCAAACCCCTTGAACTTGTGTTTTGTGACTTGTGGGGGCCCTCACCAGTTCCGTCCATCTCTGGCTATTCATATTTTCTCACTTGTGTTGATGCTTATAGCCGTTATACCTGGATTTATCCTCTAAAATTAAAATCTGACACACTTGCCACACTTATTCAGTTTAAAGCTCTTGTTGAACTACAACTTAATCTCAAAATCAAGTTTGTGCAAACAGATGGTGGAGGTGAATTCAAACCTTTGACACACTTTCTAACCATGCATGGCATAACACACAGAGTTACATGCCCACATACTCATCACCAAAATGGTTCTGTGGAACGTAAACACAGACATGTTGTGGAGACAGGTCTCACTCTTCTTGCTCAGGCTAACCTACCCTTAAAATTCTGGGATCATGCTTTCCTCACTGCTACCTACCTCATAAACAGGCTTCCATCTCCTTCCCTGCATAATAAATCACCTTTTTTCTTGCTGTATTTTCAATTTCCTGACTACAAGTTCTTAAAAGCCTTTGGCTGCTCATGTTTTCCTCATCTCATACTCTATAATTCTCACAAACTTGCTATGCATTCTAAGGAGTGCTTATTCCTTGGCTATTCTCCATCCCACAAAGGCTATAAATGTCTTGATCCCACTGGCAGAATATTTGTGTCTAAGGATGTAATATTCAACGAGCACAGGTTCCCATATACTTCCCTATTTCCTGACTCATCATCTAAATCTGTTTCAAAACCCTCCACTACTCCCTTTTCTGGACCTCCATCTGGACATCTTATTCCCCTTACATTTGTTGGTCCTCACTCATACTTTCAGTCACCTACTAATTCCCTTGGTTCTCCTAGCAGACAACCTTCTTTCAGCAGCATTAATCCTAACCCTGTTTTACCTGTTTCTCCCTCCCAGTCTGCTTCTATTTCTCAACATTTTGTCCATCCTGAAACATCTTTTGCTGACTCTTCAGCTGTGTCTCCTCAAGTTGGTACTGAGTCCTCCTCAGTGGTCATTGGCAACAGCACAACCTCTTCTCCATTCACTGAACACTCCTCCCCTGCTCCATTTGTTCATCCTCTTAACACTCATCCCATGGTCACTAGAGCTAAGGATGGTATTGTTCAACCTAGGCTGCACCCCGCTCTCCTTCTCACTCACTTGGAACCAACCTCACATAAACAAGCTCTATCCATTCCCGAGTGGCAAACTGCTATGAAAGCTGAGTATGAAGCATTAATTAGGAACCACACTTGGTCTTTGGTGCCCGTTCCTGATCACAGAAAACCTATTGGCTGCAAGTGGGTTTTTAGAGTCAAAGAAAATGCAGATGGGACAGTTAATAAATATAAAGCAAGATTGGTTGCTAAGGGTTTCCATCAGGTTGAAGGTTTTGACTATATTGAAACGTTTTCACCAGTTGTGAAACCCATTACAGTGAGGACTGTTTTAACACTTGCCATATCTAAAGGTTGGATCATACAGCAAATTGATGTCAATAATGCTTTTCTAAATGGAGTGCTTAATGAAGAGGTTTATATGGTTCAACCACCAGGTTTTGAAAAGGGTGAGCCTGGTCTAGTCTGCAAGCTACACAAAGCCCTATATGGGCTTAAACAAGCTCCTAGGGCCTGGTTTGATAAGCTCAAAGGGCCTCTTCTCCAACTGGGTTTCACTGCCAGCAGGTGTGATCCCTCCTTGTTCATGATGCTCACACCATCCTGCTACACCTTAGTGTTGGTGTATGTTGATGACATTATCATCACTGGCTCTTCTTCTTCTTTCATCAAGCAGTTGGTCACTAAACTCAATCTGGCCTTTTCTCTCAAAGACTTGGGCAAACTAGATTATTTTTTGGGCATAGAGGTAACTCATCTTCCCAATGGTTCTCTTCTGCTTTCTCAAAGCAAGTATGTCAGGGATTTGCTTCATAGAGCTAACATGGCTACTGCTAAAGGAATTGCTTCCCCTATGGCCTCAAGCACCAAACTATCCAAAGTAGGTTTTGCTCAAGTTGCTGACTCCACCTACTTCTGGTCTATAGTAGGAGCCCTACAGTATGCTACTGTAACAAGACCTGAGATCTCTTTTGCAGTCAACAAAGTTTGCCAATTTCTCTCAAACCCTCTTGAGGATCATTGGAAAGTTGTTAAGCGAATTCTCCGGTATCTCCAAGGGACAGTTTCACATGGCCTTCTTCTCTCACCTGCTAACCTCACTTTGCCTCTCACTATCACAGGCCTTTGTGATGCAGACTGGGCCTCTGATCCTGACGATAGAAGGTCTACTTCTGGGGCCTGCATCTCCCTAGGTCTTAATCTTGTTACTTGGTGGGCAAAGAAGCAGACACTTGTTGCCAGATCAAGTGCTGAGGCAGAATACAGAAGTTTGGCCTTAGCTACAGCAGAGATTCTCTGGCTTCAATCTCTTCTGCAGAAACTTCACATCACCCATCAGACTCCCAAGATACTGTGTGACAATCTAAGTGCAGTATCTCTAGCTCACAACCCTGTTTTGCACTCAAGGACCAAGCACATGGAACTTGACATTTTCTTTGTCCGGGAGAAATTGATTGGCAAGAACCTGATTGTTTCCCACATTCCTGCAATAGATCAGTGGGCTGATGTGTTAACCAAGCCACTCTCCACCAACAGATTCTTGTTTCTTAAATCAAAACTTAGAGTTGTTGACAAGCTCAAACTTGACCAACCACCCTAAGTTTGAGAGGGGAGTATTAGAGATATAAGGGCAATCCTGTAATATTCTAGTATAAGGGAATTAGACTAGTGTTTAATTCCATTTCTATCCCTTATCCTTTCCATATAAAGGATTGTTGTAACTGAATCAAAGGGAACAACAAATTCTGTTTTGCATTTTCCCTCTCTCTCTCTTCTCTTTCTCTTCACTCTTTGCTTCTCTGTTTTCTATCAATCTCTAACGTAACTGAATACCACTTTCCAATGGGTACATCAAATACAAGGGAAGAATACCAAACCATGTGAATGTAGGGGCAATAAGCACACCACTTTCCAATAGGTACATCAAATACAGGGGAAGAATACAAAACTATGTGCAGGGAGAAATTAATGTCACATACACGTTTGGCATACCGCAGTTAAGAAGCTAGAATAGAATATAATTTATCTGATGATTAATTTCAATACATTGTGCATGGAGCAAGAATCACATCCCCTGGAGTCATGGCTCTTAAGTCTAGTCAAGTACGATCTATGTCGAAACATAATTTGAAAACATGTTTTATTTTAGTATATGACTAGATGTATACTTCTCTACTGCTAACATAAAGAATTCTTGAATAGCTTTCTATCTTCACTTCTAGGTTCCAATGTTCTGAAGAGATAATACTTATTTTTGTGTACACAATGTTGTCGACGGCGGTCCATGGCGGAGAGCCAAAATCCCGCCATACCAGCCGCTTTGTGACGCCGTAATAGCAAATTATGGCGGAAAAACCCACAATATCGGCCGATATTTACCATTGAAGCGAGCCCAAAAACCATCATGTATGTCTGCCATAGTGGCCAAGGCGCCACTATTTGATAACACTAAGCGTGTGACTTAGAGATCACATGTATGAGTCATAGGATTCAGCCAGTTATAATACAAGGTAAGATTGTGTACTGTAAACCGATCCTTCTCTAATTTTATAGCACCAGGTTTGCACAATTGAATGATAAACTAAAATTTAGAAAACCATGCCTTTGTTTTCACTTCTCAATGCCTCTCCTATACTCTCTTTCATTAGGTTTGTCTAACCATCCTATTCCTAGGGAAGAGTCAGTCCTAGTAATCTCAAGTCTGACAAGATAAGTAAAGTCTAACCAGTAATTAATCCAACCAAGAATCAAACTTGGATACTCTTGATCAAATCGATTTTAACTATAGTTCACTAACCACTTGAGTCCAACCACTAGGTTAAAATGAAAATTTCTTACATTATCTCATCTCATCAATTTTTAATTTTCACAAAATTCAATTTTGCACGGCATTTGGTCTGAAATTTACTTGTATTCATGACGAAAACAAACTTTTTTCTTACTTTAAAAATGCTTAAGTTGAAAATTACTAACTCTTACAAGTCCAAAACAGCTACACTCTTTCAAGAAAAATAGTAGAAATGTTATCTTTACAGTACACATTGATGTAACTCCGGTGCAAACTCAATCTTCACAAGTTTTGGTTGTTTTGAAAGTCCAGGACAGATAAACCAATTTTCCTATAAATTATGTATGAGATTGATGTGCAATTTACATTAGTCAAAGAAACATTTGTAAGAATGTTAAACCAGTTAATCAAAGTGTGTGTTTGGATTCAGATTATGTTGGGTGGCATAAAAGTGTGCCATCATGACATTCCCCAAAGCTACCTATGAAACACTTGACTCGTCGACACCGATAGTACAACACAACAACAACCAAGCCATCTCCCCTAAGGGGTCAGCTACTTAGATCAAATTCCGCCATAATGTTTTATCCAAGACCATGTTTCAATCTAATTCGTTAATCTCAAGATCTTTCTTAATAGTTTCTCTTATAATTTTTCTAGGTTTTCCTCTTTCTCTAGTTGTTTGACTCCTCTCTATTTGAAATGTTCTCCTTACAACTGAATCTACAGCTCTTTCTACATGTCCAATCCACCTAAGCCTATTTTACATCATTTTTTCTACTATAGATGCTATCTTAACACTCTCTCTAATACTGTTATTTTTAATCTTATGCTATTTAGTCTTACCACACATCCATCGCAATGTCATCATGTCTACTACACATGTGTCGGTATTGTGTCAGACAACAAACACAAACACGCTTTCGTGTAGAAGTAGGTGCTTCATAGAAAGCTACACTTTAGAGAGTCAACCAAGTCTCAACATCACACGGATTTCGCAAAACTCACAATGAATCAAACATGAAACAAGGTAACAAACAAACAAAAAAACAAAAAAACAAAAACCATAGATCCATACATTCACAACACATGAATACAAAACAATAACCAGTGAATCAAAAGGGTTGAGAAGGAACAAACTTTGAAATGAGGAGGAAAATAATGCTTGAGCTTAACTCTGAGACAAAGACCAATCACAGTAACCATGCTACAGTGTGGAACAGTTGGCGTAAAAGTTATCCTACACAAACAAAACTTCAAATTCATACTTCCATCAAATCAAAGCTTTCATAAATCCCACAACAAAAACTCACAGAATCCTCCCCAGTTTATCATCAACAGAAATTGATTCTTCAGATAGAACATTGAGCTGTTCCAGAGAATAAGGATGTTCAGGATCCCTAATATCCCTCACGAAATTTGTCAAAAATCAAAGTCAAGGATCCAAAAAATAAAAGCACATGCATTAATTTCAATTTCAACTCAAGTAAACTAAGAAAAATTATGTAGATAATAATAGAAGAAGGATATCATAAATATCGAGAGGATCAACGGAATCGTCGGTGTGAGCGTGAGGATCTTCTGAACGAGGGATTCGCTCTTTTTTGGCGTGAACGACGGGATTGGCATTGATCAAACCCAGTGTCATCGTTTTCAAAAGTAACGGAATTTCTTCTTCTTTTTTTCAACTTCAGTTTGGTGATTATGTTAGTCGGAATCAGTCTGCATCATTTCGCTTTTCGTCTAATTTATACGTCTTTGTTTGTTCGTTCTTGGAGTTCCATTTTGGTCGCACAAAAGCTACTGTTTTCTTATGTAAATAACTTTTATTTTTTATTTATTTATATGGATTTAATAATCCATATGTATAAAGTGTAATGTATCTATCATTTAATAATTTTTTTCTTCCCAAAATATGACAAGTGGATGACTGTGTATTCACCTCTCTTTCGAATCCTTTAAACACTTCTAAAAATTTCCTCCTCATTTTCTACTTTAGTTTTCTCAATCCATTTCTCTACTTTAGTTGGAGGGATTTGTAAGTAAGTTGTAGAGAAGTTGAATAAGTTAAGAGCAACTACAACAAGTATTCTTTACGGAATTTTGTACAATCAGATGATTTATATTCTATATATTCCTTTCTGGGAAAAGTTAGAAGAAATAATTATGAAGGAAGCAGAAGCCAAATGGGCTGTAAGCTTATAGATTTTCCATTCTTTCTTGAAAAGACGAATCTAATGGTACCGGTCTGGTTCTCTAATTTTATAGTTTGTGGAACTCCAATCTAGAGCGTCTAGAGGTTGAAGACGACATACGTGTCGCGCTTCAACCAATGATAGTCTGACATGTAATTTTTTTGAATCTTATCAAATGTGCTTGCCTTACCATACACACGTTTTTAGAATTCTTAGATCTGATTACTTTCATTAGTCAGACTACATCCAACGTGCCAGATTTAAAGTTACTTTTAATTATTAAAAAATGATTTGGTGTGATTTTTAAAACAGACCATCATATGCACAACGCGCCAGATCCTTTGAATTTGTTTACTAACGCGTTTTGACTCTCATTCAATGGTCCATATTTTTCTGACTTTTATTTTTATATTTTTATTTTTGCATTCTGTTTACCCAAAAATTTGCCCTCCTATTTTCTTCAAGACATTCTCATGAGGTCCCCGTTTGCTTAAAACTACTCAAGATTTTGACTGGTCAAAACCACCTCCTAAGCAAAGGTCTTCAACTAGAGTTTGGTGCTTCTCAAAGAAAATTGGTCTGCAACATGATTCATCATAGGTCCTCAATAATGCTTATGTCAAGTTTCAAGTCTTACATCACATGTTGGCTCAGTCAATGGCTCAGAAGATTTAAAGTCAGTTGTATTGGATAAAAACTCAACTATGACCAACATACAGTCAAACTTCAAGATTTTTTATCAACATCAACATTTTGAGGTGATATTTATCATTTAATCAAGGGTTGATCATGATTCCTCAAGGAAAACCCTCAAATCATCAAAGGTCAAAAATTTTCAAAATTAGGGTTTTGATTGAAGATGACTGATCATTGACTTTTGGCCTAGTGCATGACCTAATGGTTTAAAGCATGATCTCAAGGACTCAAATACAACATTTTGACTTAATTACATATCCCAAGACATTTCCAAAGATACAAGTGATTGATAGTTGAAGAATTGAATCAATTGATGAAAAGTCAACAGTTACACAAAAGTCAAACTTTGACTTTTTGGTCAACATTGAAATTCAAAAATCAAGAACCATTAAAACATTCAAAATTATCAAACTTTGTCATCAAGATTCAAGAGAATCAAGAAAGTCAACAAAAGTCAAAATTGAAGATTTTCAAACACTTGGAAAAATTCAAGTGTTTTGTGCTTAAAAAAACCTAACTTCACAAGCAAGTTTCCTCAAGATACAAGTTGATTCAAGGAAAACTTACAACATGAAAGTTGTAGGGATTAATGAATTCTAAAACTTTGTTAATATGGGATGATCCTTAAAAAGTGCTTGGATTAAGAGATATAGGCCCATGAAGTTCTGATATTTTTTATCCAACACTTAGAAAAAATTTCAACAAGTTTTGATCAGTTTTTTATCCCAACTTCTTGGCCAATTTTCACCAAGTTTCCATTTGATTTAGCCAAAGTAGTCAACATGAAAGTTGTAGATCTTGATTCAAATTTCCAAAATATCCAAGAACACAAATTTATCATACTTGAACTAGAAGTTTCGAAGAGATGAAGATGGCATGTTAAACATGAATTATAGGTCATTTTTGTGATGAACTCGTAAGTAAATCTCATAGACATGCCTTGCAATCTCACTTTGCAGACCTCTAAACTCCTAAATCTTTTCATAATCAGAAGATTACACACTCTTTTTAGCTATTATCCAAGTGTTCAATCCTTTGTCCAATGTATCATTCCATTTTTAGCACAAAGTTAACACTTCCACTCTTGTAAAGCTAACTTTAATCAAAATGTCAACTCTTTGAGCCCATACATTGCTTCCTATGATCACACACAAGCACTAAATATAGAAGCAACATGTCTACAGCTCCTAACCACTATATGATCCATGGTATTGTGCATTGGAACTTTGATTTCTCAAGAAATCACAAGTTACATTTCAACCAAGCCATAACTCCATAACTAGCAAACCTGGTCAGCCCTTGCCCTCAAACCTTTTCTCTATAAATAGAGAAGTCATTTGCAAGCCAATGTAGAAATTGACAGCTCCAAAACACCCCCAAATTCTCTTAAACTTATAATCACCAAGAAACCACTATTGTTGCATATTTGAAGCTTCCAACACCCAACTTCAAATGCGCTCGTGTGTTTGTCTCTTTTATCATTCAAACACCATCTCCACATCATACCTACGCTTCTGTATGCATTAGTTTTTCACTGAAACATCCCAAACACTTCATCCAAACCAATCTCAAACACCTCTACAACTTGACTTGTTCAGAAGATTTAAGGCACTCTCAATCTAGGGTAGGCGTTGCAAAAGCTTCTTGAGAGTACAGTGAATCTATCCAGATCATCTTAACACCTCCAGAAGTGCTCTAACTTCAAACTCGATTCTCACTTCAAGAGGTAAGTTTCTCCAATTATGATATCCATATATATGCATCATTTACTTTCAATTTCAAAAGATAAAATGTAGATATCAATATCCTGAATCTAACCATGTCATTAGTTTTCATTAATTTTGCTTATGAAGTGAGAATCGAAACTCTAACCAGTTAGGTTTTATTTTTGGTACTGAGTAAAATTCTTTTTAATCTTTGAGTTTTAATTAAAGTTAATGGCATGGTTGAATTCGTGGTAAAATTTAGAACAACTTTAATGTTTACATTTTTTAAAATGGTTGAGAAATGAAAGAGTTTGATATTCATCAATGGTGTTGTTGTTGTCTGCACGCGCGAGGAAGAAGAAGGTAGCATTTTCAAATTTGAAAACTAAGTTTGTAATATATTTATTGGGTGTTGTTTCATAACCGGATGAAACAGCCACCCCAGTGGTAAAACAAGTGTGCGTATACTAGAGGGACCTGGGTTCGAGCCCCAGTGGTACCCTTTTGTTTTTTTTTCATATATTTTTTGCAGATTCAGCACACTAATCCTACGCAAGTACATGGTGCACCCTTCTCGTTATCATCCTTGGATCTCTCAAAGATCCAGATTAACGCGCTAGAGCTTGCGTGCCCACAGTGGACCTACTTAGAGCAACACGTTGGATCTCAGGCAGGTAGAATGGGCTTACATTATCTGGGCCCAACGTTTCTGTTTCTCACACCACTAGATTTTCTTCAACAAGCCCATTCTCTTTTTTTAATAATTATTTCACTTTAACTCTTTTTAACATGATTAAATTTTTTTTAATTAATTTAAAATTAGGTTTTTAATTAACCAAATTAATTCTTTCTTTTAGTTAAATTAATTAATCTTTTTTAACAAATTAATTTCTTATAAATCAAAATTAAGTAGGGTTATTTTAGTTTTTTTTATTTTAACTAAAAATCTTTTTCTTAATTAAAATTAACTTAGGTTTTTTTTGTTACTTTATAGGTTTTAATCAATTTTTTTTTCTAAACTAAGATTAATCAAATTATTAGGTTAATCATCAATCTTTTTCTATCAAAAAAATCACAAAAACAATTTCCTTTCTCTTTTCTTTATTTTACAAATTTTTGCGTACTTTATTTATGAATTATTGTAACTGCTCAATGGTCTGTAATAACTTTAATTAGGGTTTACTTTACTTTTTCATCCTCATTCATAAATTTGTACCCCATTCCCGAAGCGTTGTAATAGCGTAGGACATTTAATTTCTTTGCAATTTACTGCTTTCCTTATTACTGTTAGTAATTAGGGTTTGTATGACAAGATTAAAATTAACTGTTAAATAACCTAATCTCAAAGACAAATACTTGAAATCAAAACACTTCGCACATGTGCACCTCTAGGGTGACCCTCACTTGTTGCCTCAGATAAAAAATAGTCTTGTCCCTCGAATGTGGGATGCTTTAGCAAAGACTCTCGGTTGAAAGATCCTAGTCCCTAGATGCCCCTTCGATGCTGCCTTCGATAAACGATCTTAGTCCCTTACGACAATTGTTAAATCATCCTACAAGTTTCTTTCTATGACTGTATGATGACATGCGTTTGTCCCTCACATCCAATGATATGGCTTCCTACTAACAAATAGTAGGGTAGCACTATCTAAAGGAGGAGGAAAAGAATAAAGACTTTTTGAGTAGGTAGATCGTTCGTAATTTCTTGCTCATAAACTGAAACAATTTTCACACCTCACACTTTCTAAAACAAACACTTTCTTCCAATAAATATTTTCAAAACAAACATTTTGTATACATTCTCAACGATATGAGAATCATTACAAAATTATCGTACTTAGGCATTTTCAAAATATTTTCAAGCATACACAAACACAAAGCATTTTTAAAGTCAGCTAGCGAATTAAGATCCCGTAGATAACTACAGATGAAAAGGGTGCTAACACCTTCCCTTTTCATAACCTACCCCCCTTACTCAGAAAATTATCAAAGGGTCTTTTCTTTTCACCCTTTCCTTTATTGGATAAAATAAAAGTCGGTGGCAACTCTTG